CCTTTCTCTGGTAAACTTACTCTCTATCCCTCTCTGATGGGGTATTGCCTTGCCATTGAAAAGAAATGGAGGCAATGGCGTGACTTTTAATGTCCATGACATTGAATACATATAGAAGGTTTTATGCTATTGTAATGTAAACTACACATACTGTTTCACTTGTGGTGCTCTTCGCTTTGTTTATTTTCTCGGAAATAAAAAAAAAAAACCAACCACTGTATTGATTCAATACTATTGAATTAGGAAGACTCAGCATTGAATTCTGGTTGAAACGACGATCTCTAAGCACCATGACTTCCGTTTCCCATTGGTTAAAATGGAAATAAATATCATGGTAGTCGATTTTCGTATTGCCAAAATCGTTTGCGATGCTGTGCCAGAAGATGAAAGAGTGATGAGAAGAGCGGAACGCTTGCCATGCGAACAAAATGGAACGCGTCTGTTTGGCATGCGATGGATAATATACAATGTACATAGTTGTGGCCATGTAAATGTGTTCTGTAATTACTATTGGCATTGGAAAATGATTGTTGTACAAGAAATTCCAAAAATTGTTTGTGCTATGTTGGGCCGACGAAGCGAAACGAACTTCATGGAATTAATTCAAAGTGTATACGAACTTTGTCGTATTGGTGAAATAACGTAAGTTCGACATTCGTAGTACGATGAATGTGCAATATAATCACATTCAGATGAGTTAAATTCATTGAAATCGCCGGTGTTAAGAAGTTATTTAAGAAATTGTATCACTAGATTGTGGGTGGGACAAATGTCGTTGCGGTGCATTTTCCCTGAGACTCATACAAATCATGTGAAAACAAATTTGTTATGTCAAACTCAATATGTACCCCACACATATGGGCGCTAATCACTTGCATGCATGCCCAGAGAGTTTAATTTGTTGCCGCTGTCGATTTATTGATTCTTCATTGTATACACACATCACATGGTGGTTGCTGTTATTGTTGGTGTTATTGATGTGGTTTATGGTTTATTGTTATTCCAGTTTCCCAAACATTTGGCTTGATTACAGCCCTATTTAGTCATTGTTATGGTACAAATTAAGTTTTCCAGAAACTTTTCAATTTGGCCATATGCATTTCGTTTCCAACGAGCGTTTCAAAATGTTGCTAGTTGAGTCGGGTCAAATGTGGCCATTAAAATGAAAAAACGAAATTATGCGAGTAGTGTTTAACCACATAAATTTTAATTTTCGTATTTGTGTACGAGGCATGGGTATAAAAAAGATGGCTACGGAAAAGTTTTTGGATGTGAATCTTGAATGCGGCATATAATCATTTCGAATCAAACATAATCGTTGTGTGAAGCGTTCACAGTCAAGTGATGTTATGTAGTTTTGGCTTCAAACGTTCGTTCGTTCAAAAAGTTGAACAAAAAATTGTTCGCTCGTTTGTTTGGTCTTTTTTTCACTTAAAATACATAAGAAGCAAATTATATATGACTTTCATGGGTGAGATTGAGAGTATTTTTTACTGAATTTATTATGAAAAAAAAAGCGACTTCTTTCGACTTAAAAATGGTTAAAGTTAGTGATGCAGCAAAGTTATGTTTTCAAACAACTTTGCTCAAGGCATCAAGCTGATATCTCTCATCAGCTTCGTGAAAATCGTGAAAAACCGCGATGATTCGCCAAAATTGAACATACTCGTTTTTAATAATTTTCAAATCGAAAAAATTCTCTTCTTTCATGATAAAGTCTGTGAAACATACTCTACTCTCAGTCTAACCCATAAAGTTCATATAAAATTGGCATCTTATGTATTTTAAGTGAAAAAAAGCCAAACGAACGAACAAGTCGTATTTTCAAACGAACAAGCGTTCGAAAGTGTTCGACGTCTAACACTGTGGTAATGTGCTAATCGTAAATGTATAGCTTCTGTAGCATGTAAAATCACAGAAGCCGTCTCATGCTCATATATATCGTCGTTTGGATACGTGTGGTATAAGCGTTCACATGATGTCGAAAGAATGTGTAACGAAAATATTGTTACCAACTTATGCGTTTATTAGATAAGTTGAGAAACAAAACAAAACAAAAAACGGCAGAATTGTGCATTTTTTTTTGAAATTGTGCACAACGAACACAAACATTTGATGGCTGCGAAGTAGAAGAATGAAACGGAATAATGGAAGAGAAAAAACTGGTTTGAGGGACTATTGAAATTTTTCCTCTCACTATGTGTCTTAGCAGTGTTTACGCCTTGAACTTTCCAATATCCATATGTTGCCGTATCGAACGTTTGTGTTTGCTAAGTGTGTATGTATGTATGTGTTGCACCACACAGAGATGGATTGTTTTCATCATTCAACATTTTACATATGATAAATTCACATGTGAGCCGTATAAATTGCATCGATTTTTCTTTTGACCAATCCAATGCCGTCTATGTGTTAATAATTAATCCGAAATTCGATTTGTTCACCAACACACACTCTTTTCACCTTGCTACACACCACCTCGTCTCCATTTCGTCCTGTATAGCTTACACACGGAAATACGGAAACCAATATCGAAAATAACTAACAAATGAACGAACAATCGAATAGGCGAACAAATAAATGAACACGAATGTGAAGGTAGAAAGCGTGCGCGAGGTTGTGGAAAGGGTAGAAATTGATACAAAAAATAAAATAAAATTGGTTACGCCAACATAGAAGGCATTTAATCATTGTGAAATCAAATAGTGGTAGTCGTGAACGACGCACAAAATTTATAAACTATGACGCTGATAATGTAACTATTTTTTCATTCCCTTGCCACTTTCTCTCCGCTACCGTCGCCGTCGCTTTCTACTAGACTGAACGAACGTCGTATTGTGTCTGACTTTGCGTTTTTACTATTTTATGAACGATATAGATATTTATATGCACGCCGCACGACTCCTATCCCTGTTCCATTATTACAGTCTATTGATTTCGGTTACTTTTGCCTTTCACTTTTCGCATTTATCGATTCGGTGTGCGCTATGCTGAATGGCGACGCTTTTTCGTTAAGTTCCATACTTGCTTTTGCAAAAAGACGACACACAACCACGAAAACTTATAACTGAATTATTCGAAATATGAATGCGCTACCAAATTCATTCTATCGTAAAATATGGCTTCTTGTCGATTATTAGTGATCAAATGACAATGTAATGATAGCAGAGCTTCATATTGTTGTCTACCATGTCCTCCCCTCCTTCGATATGTATACATGACTAAATATAACGTATGCATCTACGTATGCATTGTATGTACACGTACATTGTTCACTGGCCGCATATCAAGTAAACATTTCCCATATTATTGTTGTATATTGTGTCCTCTGGCATAAAACATATTTCCATCGTATATCGGTTACTACTAATCCGTGAAGCACGACAATTAAACATTGCCAAACAATTTGTTTAAATACTATATATGCATGGCATATCAATGATTCAATAAACTGATGATGTTGACTGAAAACACTCATACAACTACATTATGTATTTGATAATTATTATAATTCTTCCATTAGAAGGATAAAAAGAGCGCAGCACATAACAAGGAAAACGAATATACTGACTGAATCGACGTCATTTAAATTCATTCCACTTCTATGTCCATAGACACATTGACTTTTCATGCATAATTCTTGGGTTAATTATAGCTAGGTCGTGGGCATTGAATTGATACGAGTCACTTAATCGAAGGTGTGAACAATTTACTAGATTTGGTAATAAACATGTGGTATCATTAGATATCGCCTCCAACGCATTACATGGGCGTTTCGTGTCTATTTTCATTAAGTATCGATTCATTACTAACAGGATTCGGCATTTGAAAATCGAGAACTTTTTCGAAAATAAAGCAGGAAATTGGTGGAACTGCGGGAATTTTAAAAAAATCAAATAAATTTTCACCAAATTCGAGTAATTTAATTCAAAATTCGGGAAATTCCTAGAAAATCGGGAATGGGCACATATTCATAACAGATTGATCTATATTTCATGGAATTGTGTGGCAGAGCACTTGAAACGATACCTTGTCTTGAAGCGTCGTAGACAATTTTCGAAAAATTCATAAGAAACGACTCCCATATCATCTTTACATTTTATTTTTAAATTTCCATTATTTCGCTTTAATTGATAGTCAAGTTGTGTATGCATATATGTGTGGTTGCGTATTTGTGTGTTCCTACATGTGTTACATGGTAGCGGTAAGGTTTTCACACTTCGGTTCAGTAATCAAAACAAGGGCTAAAATATTGACATTCGTTTTGGGTGCTGACAACGATCGCCAGTTAATGTGTACAATCATTAACATCGTTGCCGGTGTGTGACCATAGAAGAGATCAACTGTGAGTGTGTGTATGTGTAAGAGAAAGAGAGAGAAAGAAGAAATGGATTTGGTGTTAATTTCAATGCCACTTGATGCAGCTTTCATCTCCATTTCTCCGTCTTTATGGGGATTTTTGTTGTTTTTACTTGTTCGTTCTTCCATGCTGCTCTTTTCCAATCCCTTCAAATTGTGTGAGACAAGGTTTCGCTATGATGCACATTATGTCTAATCGAATTGAACGTATGTTTGCATTGAAAATGCTAGAACAACTGACGTACGAAATAAAGAAGAAAAACACCAGTGTTTTTTTTTTTAAATTCAGATGAATAGCATTGGAAGAAGAATCTTGAAGTAAGTGGTATAAAAGGGAAAGTAGAGCATCTAAAAATCGAAAACGCAAAGGAAATAAAACAAAACCGATATTATGATGAGAGTGAGTTAAAACTCAAACTCAAACTGCACATTCGGTGGCTGAATGGAGAGATAGACAGAGATAAAAGGACAGAAAATGATGCAAAGAGGAAGAGAAACAATACAAAGTGTTCTTTTGCTGATAGTGTAGCTATTCTTGTTGTTTTTGTATGAAAGTGGACTAAATTAACCTTCCCAAAATTTTTGATGAATGTCACGACTATTTCGACAAAAATAATCAATGAATCTGATGGTAAGTTTACCGTTTTTACTATTGCTTTTGCGAGAAGTCTTCGGATAATTGCCCTGGCACTTATACGGCTTGCTATTGCTTTTCGATTTTTTTCGTGGTTTTTTCTTGCTTTTGCGACGTTGCTGCCGCTGTGTCACCATGATCGCACGCAGATTGTGCCAAAATTGTAATTTCGTTGGTTGAACTTGAACACGACATTCGGTTGCGCTGCATTCTATGTCCGATGCTTTGCCAAAGTCATCTGAATTGTTTTCACCGACATTGTCAACGTTATTGTCAGAGCAATGGCTATCCTCGTCTGGATTATTTACTATAATGCATATGGCACCACGTCTCTGTATCGTTGTGGTTGATACACATTTTGCTCCAGCAGATTTATGGTCTAGATAAATTGTGGTATTGAATCGTAGTAGCACATAGATATTCATGAAGAAGAACAAGAAGAAGAAGAAGAAGGATGAGAAGAACAGAGTAATATATAGAACTCATTAAATCTATCTATCTAGCTAGCTATTCTCTATTTATGCAGAGCTCTATCTATCTATAGCGAAAGTGTGACAATACAAACACAAATAATATTAAATTTGTTTTTAATATGCTAAGCTGTGAAGGTCAGCACTATAGTGATGGTGGTACTGGTGGATGGTGTTATACTATTTGGCAAAATGCTTTGATGTGTTGTATGCTGTATGCAGCGCACGTTATACATTAGCTTACTCCAATTGCTCGAAAACCAATTCGTTTTCGCACTCACGATCTCGTATCGTTCTAAGCTACTCGCTTAATCTTTTTGAAATTTTCAATTTCATTTTCGGTGGCGAAAATATATACGAGAATGTATAGAAAAATCACAACGCTAAAAAAAAATGCTTAGAATAATGCTAAAGAAGAGAGCTTTAATCGAATTAAACTTTAAAGAAGAACATCTAAAATGCTAATAGAGTGAAAAAAGCATTGAGTACTATTTCATTAAAGGAATAATGATAAACTTTTGCAAAAATTAACATTAGCCCTTCGCTGATCAGGAATATGATGAAGTATTTGATATATAGCTGATCAACGAGAAGCCAACAAATGAATTCTCGCACATTCGCTTGTGAAAAAACAATTCTATTTTATTCTAATTTCAACTAGATTTATGTTCATAATAAGTCTCCGATATTTACTCTAACACTAATAACTGGGTGTTATGATAAATGCGGACTGGAACCTGCATGAAATGATCAAAAAGGTCACTAATGGCAAAAAAAAAAAAAATTAAAAATCTATACAATTCTTGTTGTTCGTAATTCAAAAAGCTAAGCACATTTCGTAGTGTCACTATATGTGAAATGTGAATAAAACCAGAAACAAAAAGGTATAAAATATGACTATTGAGATTTGAAAAAGCACAATTGCATCAGGCATCATGAAATGACTAAAGGAAAGCGTATAACCAAAAATTAGGTTCGTTTACTGTGCCGGTATTCTGGAACACAATCCGCAAAAATCATGCGGAATTATTTCGAACGTTCAATTGGATTTTTAGAAGAAGAAATAAAATGTTCAATTCAAAAATAGAATGTTTTGTAGTTGGCACGCAGATTGAACGTTTACTCTCTACCTTCAAAAATCCAATTGAACGTTCGAAATAATTCCGCATGATTTTTGCGGATTGTGTTCCAGAATACCGGCACTGGAAATATGAACAAATGGAATGGGGAACGGGGAACGAAAAAACTAAATTCGATTAATCAATGTTGATAGAGTCGAGAGTCTGATTGGAGTTCATAACAGTGTCGTAAACTCTTTTATGATTTCACTGTATGTGTGTGTGTGTGTGCACAAAATGGCATTGTTGAATACCATTAGATGAATAGATTGTATATCTGTTATGGCGGTCGCCTTGTAATATTTTCGGTAGAGAGGAGGTGAATAATGGAGGATGAGCGAGCAAGAGAGCACAAATATAGAATGAAAGAGTGTTTGCAACGTCAGTGTCAATGTTAGTGGAGTTTTGTCATTGAAATATGCATGAAATATCATGATGTTATTATAGCAACCCCGAAAACAAAAAGCATGACACATGAAAACGCATTATTCATTTCAAGGGCTATCTATGTGATGAAAGGTTATGAAGTGACTCATAAATCGTATGGCTGCTGTGAGCAACCTTTTAAATTAACCCACTTGCATATCTGAAAAGCCACCTAAATAAATAATCAAATGAAAATACATAGTAATCAAATTGTCAAGAAAAGAAAATCGGTTTTTTTTTTTTTCAATTGAGCTGAATGAAAATGCCACCATTTCAATTCCAGTTGAATAGTCATAAATACTCTAAGCTACCGTTCGATGTTCATCATTCTGTCTTATTCTTGCTCATCGAACGATGCTCATTTTTTTTCCAACTATATGATAAATGGGCAAGTCTTCCATACATTCATTGACATTACCGCTAGCTATTTCCAACCACCATCTAAAAAGCCTACTCGCCATCAGCAATCTTCATCATCGTGTGATGGATATCTTTTGCCATCGTTTACAAATCAATCAAAAAACAACTCAATCTTCACGAAAACTTTATGTATGAGAGAGAAATTTTACATCATTTCAACGCCATTTCTTTATCTTCTTTTCGCTTTCACTCCCTCCCTCTCGCTCTCTGTATATTCTTTCGAATTTTGTGAGCAAAAATGTTCACCAAACAAATATGGAACAGCATTCAGTCACAGTCGCAATCAACGGCAACTAACAGCAACCAACGGCACGAAATGGCAGGAAAAAAACCGGGACAATAAATAATGAATAGCACAGATACAAAACGAATTCAATTAAAGAGCTTTGAACTCGTCTCGCAGGCGAGTAATGCTTTTGAGAATACGAACTTCGGGCCTCGATAATCAATCGAACATTAAAAGTTGCGTTGCCCGTCACTGTGCACCAAAACCACATGAGAAAATTTATGTTAATGCATTAACATTCAACTAGCGCATACCATTTGTACACATAAATTACGTACGCATTGAATTTCATATCACACTTTCCACACGTGTTGTGCTGGATGCAAACATACCTATACAAGCCCGCATATAATGCAAATACAAGTGCACAAAAACAGACAGACTTTGTTTCTTATCATTTATAATCATAAATCTCTATCTGCCGAGTGACTTTTGCCTAACCAAGACACATTTCAATCGATTAATATTTTATATTGTTCAAGTTTAGCAACCTTTTGCAACGGCGTTCGTTAATTTATTATTGCTCATATGATGCCCCATTTAGAGAGTCACAATGTAATGATGCGTTGATTCTGAAAAGCGTAACGCACACAAAACGCACATTTGCTATGCCGTGCATTCACTCGAAAATACAACGGAAAATTACTCTCAAAGTGTGTGAATTCTCTCTTTCGGGAAAATTACCGATTGAAACATAGCGAAAGAGAATGAATTCAAAGATAATAATAATCAGCGAAACGAAGAACAAAAAATGTAAATTGATTTGCGTGCGTTTTTATTCTGTTCAAGCGCTCGACATTGGGAATGTACCGCCTGTTTGCTCATTCCTATCGTGGGGATTCCATTCTTTTTTTTTTTCATATTGGTCTATGTATTATTTCCAAGCGGTGAACACAATCTCCGAAAGAATGTACTTACGATTTATACATACACACGCAAATGATGTTTGGCCAAAATGATAGAAAACGAACCCACAAATAGAAATGCCACAGGATAGAAAATTTATTCAAAAATGGTTCACATTGTGTGATGATATTTATACGTTTAGTTGAGCATTAGTCGTCAGTGCCTCAGTGCCGTTGGCAAAATTGCGCTCATTTTTTTTATACATCTATCCATATATTTTTCTGACTGGTATCTTTTTTGATGTGCGTGCGACTGCACTGACACTTTGTTACGCACAAATGACGGCAGCGTTGACCCGAAAAGCAAGAGAAAATAGCAATTTTTCAGATGGCAAAGAATGAAATGTTCGCCATTTGCAATCAGAACGATAATAAAAGTGTTAAAAGCAGAAGAAATGGGATATTTTGTGCATTGCCATTCAATGTGAACACGCATTAAAATCGACTGAGTTCCATTACAGATCCATGTTTATCCGATCCTTCTCCTCTCTCCCTCACACACACACACACACACACTCATTCTTGCTCTCTCGTTATGTTCGTTGTTAGTGCTAGAAAATTCAATAGATAATCACACTACATACCGTCACCGACTTGCACTTCTTCAAAAATCATACAACTGACAAATACATTTGATGTGTTATTTGTATTGCAGTTATTTAGTTGTATTTTATAGTATCATTTGGTATTGTTAGACATCATGAGAAATACAATAAGACAGTGCATTTGTGAAACCAGGCGCAAATTGGATATCTCTTTCGAGCGGCACTGAACAGATTGTCACACTTGAAAATTATACGAAGAAAGATAGAAGGAATCTATACTACGAATGCTGATGAATGAAAACATGTACAAATGCACAAGATCTCAAAGTGGATTCTAGTTTTGGTTTGTACATATTTACGTTCCGTTCGCCTTTATTTGTGTAAGTCACAGAAAATTGGAAGATGAAAATTTAACCTCATAAAGTCAATGCATAAATGTCAGAATTGCTAATGTTTCTCTCTAATGAGTATTTTCCAAATAAAACCTATTTTGTGCGTATTTGTAGTTTTTCACTCTCTCAGTCAAGACAGAATTGTGTATGGAAAGTAAATAATATCACAAACGTCAAACTGAAGTAATATGTTTCATTTATTCATTCGACAAATGTATATATATGACACCCATAGAATGAAAAAACAACTTATGGGCGAACATTTCTAAAAACATTCTATAACTTAGACGGAAAAAAACTTAGAGCAAAAAAGAGACAAATTAAGTTGCGAGCAAAAGTGACACAACTCAGCATTGAGCGGAAAAGACGTTTTTTTTTTTTTCAAATAAAATTTTGAATTTACAGTCAACGCCATTTCAACTCACAAACAAGTGTCAAATGGCGTGTAGAATATAAGATATGGGAGAAGTATTGTGGAGAAAACAGGTTGCGTCATAATTAGGTAAATGGTTTTAATAAAAAAAAAACAACTCAATATTTTTGAATATGCGTATTTACCGCCGACTGTGGCGATGTTGTAAAAATGTCCCATTGTATCAGTATTGAGTAAGGATCGAAAACGATTTGAGGTTTCTCATACAAACCCGATTTCGGAACGGTTTCACTGCTTTGCTCTCTGTTCATCATTGATCTGTAGAATAATTAATAGATGACGTTGAGAACAAGCATGTCGGAATGCAACTGTTCAAGAGTTTTTAAATTTACCCACAATAATTGCGAAAATAGGTGAACGAAGGCAACACATATAGAACAAATT